GCCACCACACCCAGCTAATCTTTTTTGTATTTTTTTTTTAGATGGGGTTTCACCATGATGGCCAGGCTGGTCTTGAACTCCTGACCTCAGGTGATCCACCCACCTCGGCCTCCCAAAGTGCTAGGATTACAGGAGTGAGCCACAGTGCTCGGCCTCTGAGGATTCTAGAGTTGTATGCTAGGAAACGGGTTGAAGACCAAGTACATGTTTGTTTTTTGGGGTTTTTTTTTTTGAGACAGAGTCTCACTCTGTCGCCAGGTGCCAGGCTGGAGTGCAGTGGTGTGATCTCGGCTCACTGAAACCTCCGCCTCCCGGGTTCAAGCAATTTTCCTGCCTCAGCCTCCCGAGTAGCTGGGATTACTGGTGTGCGTCACCATGCCTGGGTAATTTTTTGTATTTTTAGTAGAGCTGGGTTTCACCATGTTGGTCAGGCTGGTCTTGAACTCCTGACCTCAAGTGATCTGCCTGCCTTGGCCTCCCAAAGTGCTAGGATTTCAGGTGTGAGCCACCATGCCCAGCCTAAATTTTTTTTTAAATTATTTTTTAAAGTTCCTAGTGATGAATAAGAGAGTTGAATGGGCCCAGGGCCTCGGCTCCACCCTACTCGCTTATTAAAAAGGCTATTACAGATAATTCAGATGAAGAGATGCTTAGGGCGAGGTGTGGGGAGAGGGGCATAGGGCTTGTGTGCCCTCCCTGGGGCGTTACCCTCCAGGATCCCCCATAAGTTCAGCTATCCAGAAGCTCCCCAAACCCTGGCCTTTTGGGTTTTTACAGAACCCTCATTACACAGCCATGATTGAATAAACCACTGGCCACCAGGGATCAATTGACCCTTCAGCCCCGCTCCTCCCTGGAGGTGTGGCAGGGGGTGGAGACTGAAAGTCCCAGGCTTCTAGTCCTGTTTTAGTCTTTCCCTAACCAAGCTACCTAGGCCCTGCCAGCCACCAGTCAACTCAGCACACAAAAAGACACCACTGTGGAGCTTCTGAGGATTTTTTTTTTTTTTTTTTTTTTAGATGGGGTTTCACCATGATGGCCAGGCTGGTCTTGAACTCCTGACCTCAGGTGATCCACCCACCTCGGCCTCCCCAAGTGCTAGGATTACAGGAGTGAGCCACAGTGCTCGGCCTCTGAGGATTCTAGAGTTGTATGCTAGGAAACGGGTTGAAGACCAAGTACATGTTTGTTTTTTGGGGTTTTTTTTTTTGAGACAGAGTCTCACTCTGTCGCCAGGTGCCAGGCTGGAGTGCAGTGGTGTGATCTCGGCTCACTGAAACCTCCGCCTCCCGGGTTCAAGCAATTTTCCTGCCTCAGCCTCCCGAGTAGCTGGGACTACAGGCACACGCCACCACGCCCAGCTCATTTTTGTATTTTTTAGTAGAGACAGAGTTTCACCATGTTGGCCAGAATGATCTCGATCTCTTGACCTCGTGATCCGCCCGCCTCGGCCTTTTGGGGTTTTTTTTTTTTTAGACGGAGTCTTGCTCTTGTTGCCCAGACTGAAGTGCGATGGCACTATCTCGGCTCACTGCATCTCCACCTCCTGGGTTCAAGCGATTCTTCTGCCTCAACCTCCTGAATAGCTGGAATTACAGGCATGCACCACCACACCCAGCTAACTTTTTTGTATTTTTAGGGGAGATGGGGTTTCACTATGTTGGCCAGGATGGTCTCAACCTCCTGATCTCAGGTGATCTGCCCGCCTGGGCCTCCCAAAATGTTGGGATTATAGGCGTGAGCCACTGCACTCAGCCACGTTTTTTTAAAATGAGACGGGGTCTCACTCTGTTGCCCAGGCTGGAGTGCAGTGGAGCTATCATGGCTCACTGTAGCCTGAATTTCCCTGGGCTCAGGGGATCCTCTCATCTCAGCCTCCTGAGTAGCTGGGGCCACAGGCACGTACCACCATACCCAGCAAATTTTTGTAGAGACGAGGTTTTGCCATATTGCCCAGGTTGGGCATGAAGTCCTGGGCTCAAAGCAATCCTCCCACCTTGGCCTCCCAAAGTGCTGGGATTATAGGCATGAGCCACCTCGCCTGGACCCAGATATATACTTCATAGTATCACAGGTAGCTAAAGTCAAAAAAGGGGCCAGGAGTGTCATGTGCACCCAGGACAGAATTCTGGAGGAGCTGAACAGGAAACAGTGCCCTGCCCCGGCCTATGTATCCACTCTGCTAGGCAGCCCGTGATTCTTCTTTGGGGTCCCCTGCACAGGGGGGCTGCATCTACGATCACCCAGCAGGGAGCAGGCAGGCTCCCAGCACCCCATGTTTGAGGCCCAGCCAGACTTCTCCCACCCACCAAGGAGACTCAGGAGGCTGGGCAGGGGCACAGTGCTTCCTGCGGCTTTAACCTAGCTGGGGCTTGCAGACAAGAGGGGAGCAAAGGAATGACACTCTGTCCTAACCCAGGTACACTGCTACCCTGCACCATCCTGCTGGATGGAGTCACAGGGACTGCAGAGGCCTCTCCAGAGCTGCCTGTGGGCACAGAAGCAAGCCTGGGGGTGCCCCACTAGCCTGAGCCCCCCATGCCCCCCTGGAATGTCCTTGGGGTTGGGCACAATGACAAGGGAGCCACCTGGGCAAGTTCCTTCCAGGGAATGGCTTCACCAGGGCACAGAGTAAGGGTGTGCAGCATGAGCGAGGCCTCCTGAGGGGCCTGCAGCCCACAGGCTGAACTGTGGCTACAAGCCAAGTGGGGTTGAGGACTCCAGCCCCTCCCCACCATAAAAATGAACTGGGTATTGTAATTGTAAACCAATATTTTTTTTTTTTGAGATGGAGTTTCACTCTGTCACCCAGGCTGGAGTGCACTGCCGCGATCTTGGCTCACCACAACCTCTGCCTCCCAGGTTCAAGCAATTCTCCTGCCTCAGCCTCCCAAGTAGCTGGGATAACAGGCACATGCCACCACACCCAGCTAATCTTTTTTGTATTTTTAGTAGAGATGGGGTTTCACCATCTTGGCCAGGCTGGTCTCAAACTCCTGACCGCAAGTGATTCATCCGCCTCGGCCTCCCAAAGTGCTAGGATTACAGGCATGACCCACCGTGCCCGGCCTAAACCAACATTTTAGCGGGTCTGATATGTAACAGCATAAGACAAAAGCATTGGGCGGGCCACACCACCCAGTCCCCAATCCAGCAAGGCTTCACAGAGTCCCTGTCCCCCTGGTGGGGGACAGCATAGATCCAGCACGGAGAAAGTCAGCCCACAATCTGTGCCATAGAATGAGGCAAGAACGCGAGTGGAGATGTAGCACTCCAGCTCACAGTGGCATCTGAATGCCTTCCAAACGGCACCGCCAGTGTCCCCATCCCCACCCCCAACCAAAAGGCTTCCCGCACTGCCAAAGCAGTGAGACAGACACCTGCCTGCGGCAGGGTTCAAAACAGATATAGCTGGTTTATTCTGGAAACAAGTCTCACCCAGAAATGTGATTTGCTACATTTAAAAAACAGCAGAGGTGATTTGCATGGTTCTTCTCCAAACCCTCACTCCACCAAGTCCAGCTTTACCACCCAAGGTCCTTTCAGGATCCCAGGCCTGGAGGCTGCAGGAGACAGCACCAATTCCCTAAGAGCAAGAGAATGGCGTCCAGTTGCCCAAAGTTTCTCAGAGCAGAGCCAGCTGCTCCTCCAGACAGGCTGGTGAGGCTACTCAACACTCCCAGGAAGTAGAAATCCTGAAGGACGTAGGTTTCAGGCTAGCCCTCCCCAGATCCCCAGCCGGAGGCACCTCCAGCCACAGAAGTCGAGCTGCCAAAGTACTCCTGCAGTTCCAGCAGGGCCCGGAAGCGATGTGAGATGGCGTTCTTCTCTGCCTTAGGCATCTCTGCATACCTGAGGGGTGACAGTAGCAGCTCAGAGGGAGCCCTGATCAGGGAGGAAGCACATCCCCTCCCTACCCTACTCTTATCCCTGGAGTCCAAAGCTCACAGACCCCCAGGAAAGGGGACTGAGGCCCAGCAGCTCCTGGCAGCCAGTGAATTTTTAAAAATTGGATGATGTTTTCAATTCCCCTGTAGGCAGACGCCCCCATGAATGAGCATGGAGGGACATTAAACTTGCTCTAGTGTGCCCAAAGTCATTAAGGGAAGCTGGGGACAGGGGAGATGAGCTGCATGTTTGATCAGCTTTGTCATCTGTTGACAGGAAGCAGTGGGGCCTGACAGAGCAAACACAACAGTCTCCTCTAATGTGCGGAGGGCGGGGGAGCACTTGAATAGCTGGCCATGGGCCTACCTCCCTGCCAGCATGGCAGAGAGGGGTGAATCCCACACCCTACCTGTGGCCTGCAGATTGCTCTGTGCCAGTAGCCACTAGCCAGGTATGGCTATTTAAGTGAATTAACGCTGAATAAAAATATTCAGTTCCTGGGTCTCACCACACTGCAAGTGCTCCATAGCCCCATGTGGCTAGTGGCTGGTTTCACAATGTCCTCACCCCTGCTGGGGCTATTGTGGGGCTTCAGACTGTACTCCCTAACAGCCCTTCCAGCTTGGAAAGCCTGATTCCAACAATGGCCCTTGTGTGAATAAGGGAGGATTCGTATGAACTACTGAGAACAACTGGTACCGTTAGGGCATAAAACAGTGCCCACCAGAGGCTGCAAAAGTCCAGACATTTTCCCAACCTAGATGAGGGTCAGAAAATGATGCCATAGGCCAGGGACGGTGGCTCATGCCTGTAATCCCAGCATTTTGAGAGGCCAAGGCGGGTGGATCATGAGGTCAGGCGTTCAAGACCAGCCTGGCCAAGATGGTGAAACCCTATCTCTACTAAAAATGCAAAAATTAGCCAGGCGAGGTGGCAGGCACCTGTAATCCCAAATACGCAGGAGGCTAAGGCAGGAAAATCGTTTGAACCTGTGGGACAGAGGTTGCAGTGAGCTGAGATCGTGCCCACTCCAGCCTGGGTGACAGAATGAGACTCTCGTCTCAAAAGGGAAAAAAAAATGATACCATAAAACTGTCAGATTTGGCTGGGCGTGGTGGCTCACGCCTGTAATCCCAGCACTTTGGGAGGCCAAGCTGGATCGCCTGAGGTCAGGAGATCGAGACCAGTCTGACCAACATGGTGAAACCCTGTCTGTACTAAAAATACAAAAAAAATTAGCCAGGCGTGGTTGCATGCTCCTGTAGTCCCAGCTACTCAGGAAGCTAAGGCAAAAGAATTGCTTGAACCGGGAGGTAGAGGTTTCAGTGAGCCAAAATTGCACCACTGCACTCCACCTTTGTGACAGAGCAAGACTCCATCTCAAAACAAAACAAAACAAAACAAAACAAAACTGTCAGATGTACAGCTTACAGGCCAAGGCCAGAGAGGTGGAACCACTGGCCACACAGCTGATGTGGGGTGAGCTGGAGCCTCAGAGCCCAGGACTCCTAGCACCATCTGGCTGCCTCCCCAACCATGGTCTGGGCCACCCAGATTCCTAGTGTCCACCCCAGCAGAGCTGCTTTTGGCTGGAACGGCACCCTCGGAGCCTCCCCCGCCCATATCCGCATGCCTGCACATGGGCGGGGCACTGGCCCAACCCAAACCATGGCTATGCCAACCCCACACCCCAGGGAAGAAACAGAGCTCCTTACGTCTGCTCATATCCATCAGGCTGAAAGCAGGGGTCCCAGCCAAAGTCCCGACAGCCTCTGGGTGCCACGATCTGGCCCTGTCACAGGAAAGGGGGGACACGTATGTAACTGGAACCAGAGGAGAAGCACGAGAAGGACAGCAGCCAGTATGAGTTTGGTGAGTGTAGGAATTTGATTTGACCCAACTTATGCAAAATGTAGTTACAAGGGCTCCACAGCATCTGCAAATGTTTGCTGAATACAATAAAAAGCAGAGCAGGGGCTGGGGCTCACGTCTATAATCCAGCACTTTGGGAGGCCAAGGCAGGCGGATCACGAGGTGAAGAGATCGAGACCATCTTGACCAACATGGTGAAACCCTGTCTCTACTAAAAATACAAAAATGAGCTGGGCATGGTGGCACGTGCCTGTAATCCCAGCTACTCAGGAGGCTAAGGCAGGAGAATCACTTGAACCCAGGAGTTAGAGGTTGCAGTGAGCTGGGATGCGCCATTGCATTCCAGCCTGGTAACAGAGCGAGACTCCATCTAAAAAACAAAAAAGTAGAGCAGGGCAGCTCTCCCACACACACACAGGGAGGAAGCACGTACCCGACGAGCCCACCAGCACCTCCAGGGCCACGCGCTCTCTCCACACCTGGGACAAACTGGGGCATCACTGAAGAACAATGAGGCTATTTTGAAAGATAGACAGAAAACATTTTCTCCTAATAAGAAGCTAAGTGGCCTGCACTTTGGATAAGTTAGATGTTTGCTACCATGACAGCGTTCCTGAAGATACAAGGGAGGCTTTAACACTAAGATGAAATACCGTAACAGGAAGTGGGCACCCAACTCTCCGCTTCATGAACACGTCAGTGAGTACAATAAATACTGGCTGCAGGAGGGAAATTCCACAGTGAAAATGTTAGAAAAAGAACAAATTGTAATCCAGTGACATGAAATGTCATGTTATCAAAATTAAAAAGAAAAAACAATCTGGCCAGGCGCAGTGGCTCATGCCTGTAATCCCAGCACTTTGGGAGGTTGAGGTGGGAAGATCACTTGAGCCCAGGAATTTGAGACCAGCCTGGGAAACATGGCAAAGGCAAAACCCCATCTCTACAAAAAATACAAAAATTAGCCTGGCCTGGTGGTGTGTGCCTGTAGTCCCAGCTACTTGGTGGGAAGATTGCTTGAGCCCAGGAGATCGGGGCTGCAGTGAGCTGTGATCATGCCACTGTATTCCAGCCCAGGTGACAGAATGAGACTCTGTCTCAAAACAAACATTCCAAAAAAACCCAAAAAATTCTAACTGAAAAAATACAAGCTGCCAGGTGTGGCAGCTCATGCCTGTAATCTCAGCACTTTGGGAGGCCGAGGCAAGAGGATCCGCTTAAACCCAGGAGTTTGAGACCAGCCTGGGCAACACAGTCAGACCCTATGGCTACCATTTTTTTTTTTAATTAGCCAGATGTGGTTGCTCACACCCGAGGTCCTAGCCACCCAGGAGGCTGAGTTGGGAGAATGACTTGAGCCCAGGAGATGAAGGCTGCAATGAGCCATAATCATGCCACTGCATTCCAGCCTGGGTGACAAAAAGACCATCTCAAAAAATTTTTATTTATTCTATCTTATTTTTGAGATGAAGTTTCACTCTTGTTGCCCAGGCTGGAGTGCAATGGTGCCATCTCGCCTCACCAAAACCTCCACCTCCACCTCCCAGGTTCAAGGGATTCTCCTGCCTCAGCCTCCCGAGTAACTGGGATTACAGGCATGCATCACCACACCCGGATAATTTTATATTTTTAGTAGAGATGGGGTTTTACCATGTTGGTCGGGCTGATCTTGAACTCCTGACCTCAGGTGATCTGCCTACCTCAGCCTCCCAAAGTACTAGGATTACAGGCATGAGCCACCATACCTAGCTGTTTAAAAAAATTTTTTTTTAAAAAACAATGGAGGTGGGGCTGGGCGCAGTGGCACATGCCTGTAATCCCAGCACTTTGGGAGGCCAAGGTGGGTGGATCACAAGGTCAGGAGTTCAAGACCAGCCTGGCCAACATGGTGAAACCCCATCTCTAAAAAGTTAAAAATAGGCAGGGCGCGGTGGCTCACGCCTGTAATCCTAGCACTTTGGGAGGCCGAGGTGGGTGGATCCCCCGAGGTGAGGAGTTCAAGACCAGCCTGGCCATCATGGTGAAACCCCATCTTAAAAAAAAAACAAACAAAAAAAACAGCAATGGAGGTGGTACATGACTGGTATGAGCCACATAAATGCCAAGTCATTTAGACCCAAGGGCAAATTCTACTTCTGCTGTGAGGAGCTATGGAACCAAGGCCAGTTACTCAATCACTCTGAACCTCACCCATGCAACAAATGTTTTCTGCGCACCCACGGGGGGCCAGGTAGTTCCCAGCACTGGGGTTATGGTAGGGCTAGTCTTGCCCTCATACAATAGTCCTTTTAAGCCAAAGAGGGCATTACACCAGTAAAAAATTAATAAAATTAATGACCAACATGGAGAAACCCCCCACTCTACTAAAAATACAAAATTAGCAGGGCGTGGTGGCAGACACCTGTAATCCCAGCTACTCAGGACGCTGAGGCAGGAGAATTGCTTGAACCTGGGAGGCGGAAGTTGCAGTGAGCTGAGATTGCGCCACTGCACTCCAGCCTCGGCAACAAGAGTGAAACTCTATCTCAAAAACAAACAAAAAACAAGGCACAATGGCTCATGCCTGTAATTCTAGCACTTTGGGAAAATGAGGCAGGCAGATCACTTGAGGTCAGGCGTTCAAGACCAACCTGGGCAACACTGTGAAACCCTATCTCTACCAAAAATACAAAAAGTAGCCAGGCGTAGTGGCTCACATGATCCCAGTTACTCCCTGAAGTAGGAGGATCACCTGAGCCTGGGAGGTGGAGGCTGTAGTGAGCAGTGACTGCACCACTGCACTCTAGCTTGGGTGACAGAGCAAGACTGTCTCACAAAACAAAACAAAACAAAAAAATTTACCAGGCAACATGATCCAGCAATTCCACTTCTGGGTATTTATCCAAAAGAACTGAAAACAGGATATCTGCACTCCTGTGTTCATTACATTATTCACAATAGCCAAGAGGTAGCTAAACGCCATCAACAGATAACTGGATACAAAAAGTAGTCTCTGCATGAAATGGAATATTATCCACCCTTAAGTCCTAGAAAATTCTGTCACATGCTATAACACAGATGAACCTTAAAACATTATGCTGGCCGGGCACAGTGGCTCATGCCTGTAATCCCAGCACTCTGGGAGGCCGAGGCAGGCAGATCATGAGGTCAGGAGTTCAAGACTAGCCTGGCCAATATGGTGAAACATCATCTCTACTAAAAATACAAAAATTAGCTGATGTGGTGCGCGCCTGTAATCCCAGCTACTCGGAAGGCTGAGGCAGAAGAATCACTTGAACCCGGGAGGCAGAGGTTGCAGTGAGCTGAGATTGCGCCACTGCACTTCAGCCTGGCCAACAGAGCAAGACTCCATCTCAAAAACAAACAAAAAGCATTAAGCTAAATGAAATGAACTAGTAACAAAAAGATTCACATCTTATGATTCCACTTACATGAGGTATCTGAAGTAGTCAGACTTTTAGTAAGTAGAACGGTGGTTGCTAAGGGCTTGGAGAAGGGGAAAGGGAGTTGTTCAATGGGTAGAGTTTCAGTTTTACAAAATAAAAAACTTCTAGAGATATGCTACGTAACAATGAGACTAACCTGTGCAATACAGCAAGACTCCACCTCAATTTAAAAAATAAAAATTGGGCAGGTGCGGTGGCTCACGCCTGTAATCCCAGCACTTTGGGAGGCCAAGGCGGGCGGATTACTCGAAGTCAGGAGTTCGAGAACAGACTGACCAACATGGTGAAACACTGTCTCTACTAAAATACAAAAATGAGCTGGCTGTGGTGGTACGCACCTGTAATCCCAGCTACTTCGGGAGGCTGACGCACAAGAATAGCTTGAATGTGGGAGGTCAAGATTGCAGAGAGCCGAGATCATGCCACTGCACTCAAGCCTGGGCAACAGAGAGACTCAGTCTCAATCAATCAATCAATCAATCAATATTATGGCTGGGTGTGGTGGCTCATGTCTTGTAATCCCAGCACTTTGGGAGTCCAAGGCGAGTGGATCACTTGAGCCCAGGAGTTCAAGACCAGCATGGGCAAGATGGCAAGACCGCATTTCTACAAAAAATAAAATTAATTAGCCAGGTGCAGTGGCATGTGCCTATAGTCCCAGCTACTCAGGTGGCTGAGGCAGAGGATCCCTTGAGCCCAGGAGTTCAAGGAGTCAGTGAGCTATGATTGTGCCAC